CCATTAACCTATCTTCTTTTGTTTCCATAAAAGTACCTCTTATTAATTACCTGAAAAAACCACAACAATGTCTCTTTGATAAATAACACCGCCTACTACACAATCAAGGTCCTTAAATGACTCTCAAAATAACATATTATTGCACACTGTAATAACTCAAGTGTAGTAAACAGTTCTACAAAATAAAATGACATTAGATGTTTTAACTGCTGCACAAGGTGGGGCGTGCTCTCATAAAAGCAAAATGCTGTGTATACATTCCAGAAGACCACAAAAATATTTCTGAGTTTCTAACTGACAAATACTCAGATTGGCCCTTTAAAAAAAGATCCCTCTCTTTCTGTTAATAATTGGTTAAACTCCTGGACCAAAGAAAGATTTTTGTCGACTCTCAAAGCACTGTTCCCAACAAACAATAGTCCAGGGCCAAATTCTACCCAACATTTAAAGAAGAATGAATACCTAATCTTTTGAAGCTTCCCCCCACCAAAAAAAAAAAAAAAAAAAGAAGGAAAATTTCCAAACTCATCCTATGAGACCAGCATTATCTTGATTCTAAAACCAGACAATGACCCCAAAATGAGAACTATAGACCAATTTCCCTGATGAACATGGATGCAAAAATTCTCAAGATACTAGCCAACCAAATCCAACAATACATTAAAGTAATTCTTCACCAACAGCAAATGGGACTTATTCTGGGGTGGCAGGGCTGGTTCAATAGCCACAAATCAATTAACATGATGCATCATATAAATAAAAGAAAGGACAAGAACCACATTATCCTCTCCACAGATGTAGAAAAAGCATTTGGCAAAATATAGAATCCTTTCTTGATTAAAAAAAAAAACCTCAAGAAAGTAGGGATAGATGGAACATAAACAAGATCATAAAAGCCATATATAAAAGGCCCACAGCTAATATCATCCTCAGTGGGGAAAAACTGAGAGCTTTCCCCCTAAGGTCAGGCATATGACAAGGATGTCCACTCTCACCACTGTTGTTCAACATAGTGTTGGAAGTCATAGCCTCAGCAATCAGACAACATAAAGAAATAAAAGGCATCCAAATTATCAAGGAAGAAGTCAAACTTTCAATCTTCATGGATGACATGATACTCTACATGGAAAACCCAAAAGACTGCACCCAAAAAACTGCTAAAACTGATCCATGAATTCAGCAAAGTAGCAGGATATGAAATCAACGTAGAGAAATCAGTTGCATTTCTATACACCAATAATGAAGCAGCAGAAAGAGAAATCAAGGAATTGATCCCATTTATAAATTGTACCAAAACCCATAAAATACCTAGGGATAAACCTAACCAAAGAGGTAAAAAATCTGTACTTTGAAAACTGTAGAAAGCTTATGAAAGAAATTGAAGAAGACACAAAGAAATGAAAACACATTCCATGCTTATGAGCTGGAGGAACAAATGTTGTTAAAATGTCAATACTCCCCAAAGCAATCTACAGATTTGATGCAATCCTATCATGGAGCTAGAACAAACAATTCTAAAATTTGTATGGAACCAGAAAAGACCCAGGATAGCCAATGTAATGTCGAAAAAGAAAACCAAAGCCTGAGGTATCACAATTCCAGACTTCAAGATGTGTTACAAAACTGTAATCACAAAGACAGCGTGGTACCAGCACAAAAATAGACACAGAGATCAGTAGATCAGAATAGAGAACCCAGAAATGGGTCCACAAACATGTGGCCAGCTAATCTTCAACAAAGCAGGAAAGAATATCCAATGGGAAAACAAATAGTCTCTTCAGCAAATGGCGCTGGACAGCAACATGCAGAAGAATGAACCTGGACCATTTTCTTACACCCTACACAAAAATAAGCTCAAAAATGGATGAAATACTTAAATGTGAGACAGGAAACTATCAAAATCCTAGAGGAGAAAATAGGCTACAACCTCTTTGATCTTAGACACAGCAACTTCTTACTAGACTTGTCTCCAGAGGCAAGGGAAATAAAAGCAAAAATGAACTATTGGGACTTCATCAAGATAAAAAGCTTCTGCACAGTGAAGGAAAAAATCAACAAGGCTAAAAGGCAACCAAAGGAATGGGAGAAAATATTTGCAAATGACATATGAGATAAAGGGTTAGTATCCAAAATCTATAAAGAACTTAATCAAACTCAACACCCAAAAAACAAGTAATCCAGTGAAGGACTGGGCTAAAGACATGAACAGACACTTTTCCAAAAAAGACATCCAGATGGACAGCAGACACATGAGAAGATGCTCAACATAACTCATCATCAGGGAAATACAAATCAAAACCACAATGAGATACCACCTCACACCTGTCAGAATAGCTAACATTCGTAACTTAGGAAACAACAGATGTTGGCAAAGATGCAGAGAAAGGGGAACACTTTTGCACTGATGGTGGGAATTCAAACTGGTACAGCCTCTCTGGAAAACATTATGGAGGTTCTTCGAAAAGTTAAAAATACAGACATCTGGGTGGCTCAGTTGGTGGAGCATCTGACTTTGGCTTAGGTCATGAGCTCTCAGTTTGTGGGTTTAAGCCCCTCGTCAGACTCCGTGCTGACAGCTCAGAGCCCGGAGCCTGCTTTGGATTCTGTGTCTCCCTTCTCTCTCTCTTTGAACTTCCCTGGCTTGTATTCTGTCTTTCTCAATCTCTCTCAAAAAGAAATAAGCATTAAAAAAAATTTTTTTAAGATGTGGTATCTATGTACAATGGAACATTACTCAGCGATCACAAAGAATGAAATTTTGCGATTTGCAACAATATGGAACTAGAATGTATTATGCTAAGTGAAATAAGTCAGTCAGAAAGAGATAAATATCATATGCTCTCACGTATGTGGAATTTAAGAAGCAATACAGATGAACATGGGGGAAGGGAAGGAAAAATAAGATAAAAGCAGAAAGGGAGGCAAACCATAAGAGACTCTTAAATCCAGAAAACAAACTGAGAGTGGCTGGAGGGGTGTTGGGTGGGCGGATAGGCTAAATGGGTGATGGGCATTATGGAAGGCCCTCGGGATGAGCACTGGGCATTATACATTAAATGATGAATCCCTAAATTCTCTTACTGAAAGCATTGTTATACTTTATGTTAACTAACTTGGTTTTCAATAAATTTTTTTTTCAAGGACCCTTATTTGGGCTTCTTTTTCTTTCTGTTACTTTAATCATGTTTTGCTGTTTTCTCCCAAGTCTCCTCCTGATGCCAAGACTCCTTCATGCCGTAACTTCAAGCCAACAGATGATCCTTTCTGTTCAAGAAAACTCCCATATGTTTTCAACTCTAGATACAGCTAGCTTAGCCTTTCCTAACTCCTATTAAACTCTCAACTGACCAGCCTTGACTCATAGGAAGGGACCTATCTGTGCCCCTATTTATTTAGCAGGACAAAGCTCTAGAAGGTGAGACCTTCCACCTTCAACAACCTTTCAACATTTAAGGGTCAATGATGTTGGGGACAGGGGGGCAGGGAATGAGAGAAACAAAGGTAAGAAAAATGTAATTTAAATTAAATCCCCTTCCAGCCTGCAGCCAACTGATAGACCCCAGATACCTGTGGCACCTGACCTTCCTCAAGGAGTTGGTGGCTGCCTTAATCCCTTGGTGTTTACTTGTCATTAAAAACTAAAAGCAACCTTATCTTGACAATAGCTAAATCTTCAGGCTCCTGTAAGACCCTGCTTTCAGCATCCAGAAGTTCTTTAGAAACTAACTTCTCTTCCTGCCCTCCACAAACTTAAAAGGAGGCAATCAGTCACTCCTCACAACCCCAGCGCAGTTCTTTCTGCCCATGGTCCTGTTCCCTGCTTGAATAAAATCATCCTTTTGCACCAAAAAACATCTCAAGAACTCTTTCTTAGCCCTTTGCTCACAGACTCCACTTCAAATTTCATCAAGAGGAGAAAGACTTCCCTGTGCACTTTTCACAGGAGAGGAATTAGATCAGGGCGCAGGACAAGGAAGAAGACGTTACCAAGGGTGGAAGAGGGGACCTGATAGGAAATACGTTTCTCATGGAACTGGCTTTTTCATTGGTCTGTCTTCCTCTCCCTGAACACCCTTTCTTTTCCTCTCAGATTGGGTGACTGTGTTTGAATGAACCCTACTAAGCACCAGGCACTTTCCTGGCAATTTCTCACTTAATTCTCACACTACCCGAGGTGGTATTTTCTCCCAGATTACAACTGAGGGGATCAAGGCTCAGTAGGGAGACCACTTTTGAACCCAAGTCGGTGTGTTTTCTTACCCTCCAGATGCTTTCAGAGACCAAGCCCAGCCCCCTCCCACTCCCAGGAGACCCTGTGCCTGGCTGGGGACAGCTTGATGGAAGGTCACCTACGCAGGGCAGGCGGGCACTGTGAGGACGGTCTGGGAGAGAGCCCACTCCGTGGCTCACCCCCTCTGGTCACGCCATTCAGACTGCCCCTGCCCAGTCCTTGGCACTCACGGGGATCACCAAAGATGCACTGGCCATGGCCCACAGGAGCTTTCCACTTAGTGAGGCAAAGGTAGTCAGGGGGGCCTGGTTCGAATCCCAGCTCTGCCATTTCTTTAGGGCATGAGGCCAAGCAGGTCACCTTCCTCATCTGAAAATTGGGCCTGATCCCATTCACCTGGCAGGGAGGCTTACATGGAGCGATTTAAAGGCAGCACAGCGCTGGCCTCAAGGTGGGGCCTCAGCATCTACTCGTCACTTTCCTTCCATCACCCTTCCTTGAAAGCCAAGACCCACGGACCAGAACTGAGCAGGTTCAAACACATCCCCAGGTGGGGGAAGAGCTTATCTCAGCGGCTGGCCACAGAGTGTTTGTAGATGAGCCCAAGGTCAGTGACCCCACCTCTGCCCTGTGGAGCTGCCTGCGACACTCCTGTCCTTGAGCAGCCTCACCTGACTCTCTCTGCCCACCCCCACCTGACTTTCTCCGCCCACCCCCTCACCCCGACCCTACCCCTTGCGCTGTCCGTGAGTGAGCTGAGTGCAGACGGCCCACCTGGGAACCCAGCCGCTGAAGGAGCAGCACGTGGGGAGATGGCTACTGAGGGCTCTGCCGAACGGGGTCCGTCTGCCCCGGCCTGCAAGGAGGCCCCTGGCACGAACGACAGTACCTTGCACTCCCAATCAGGTGAGATCTGTGGATGGGCACAGAGGAAGCAGGAAGGGGCACGGTGTGAGCACTTTATCACGGTCCCCCTGCCCCTGCCCGACCCCTAGCTAATTGGGTTTTCTTTCTTTTCTTTTAATGTTTTATTTATTTTTCTTATTTATTTATTTATTTATTTATTTATTTATTTATTTCTAGGAGAGAGAGAGAGACAGCGTGAGCAGGGGAGGGTCAGAGAGAGAGGGAGACACAGACTCTGAAACAGGCTCCAGGCTCTGAGCTGGCAGTCAGCACAGAGCCCGACGCGGGGCTCGAACCCACGAACCGCGAGATCATGACCTAAGCGAAAGTCGGACGCTCAACCGACTAAGCCACCCAGGCGCCCCTGTTTTATTTGTTTCTTAGAGAGAGACAGCATGAGCAGGGGAGGGTCAGAGAGAGAAGGAGACACAGAATTGAAAACAGGCTCCAGGCTCTGAGCTGGCAGTCAGCACAGAGCCCGACGCGGGGCTCGAATCCATGGACCGTGAGATCGTGACCTGAGCCGAAGTCAGACGCTTTAACCGACTGAGCCACCCAGGCGCCCCTCCTGGTTGGATTTTCTTTCCTTGGTACCACACGGCTGAAGTTCAAAGGCACCTCCTTCTCCCTACTGCTCTGTTCTTTTCTCAAAATTCCAGTGGAGGGCATGCCATGACCCTGCTCCTGCCATGAAAGGGTGACGGCCATCAAGGGGGAGAAAGGATGGCCCACTGGGGCACAGGGATGTTTCCTATTTTCTTTGCTTACACAATTGGCTTTTTCCAAAAGCAACTTAAGATAGCTTATAGCGAAAAAGTTTAACGATAAGGCTAATCGTAATGGTGACACCATCACAGACTAGAGGAAAATAAAGAGGAACTTAAATATATTCACTAAGGATAAGGTAGTCATGAAGATGCATCTGAGTATCCTGGTCCCCATGGTACAAAGGGAAAGAGTATCACTTACTGGAAAGGAGGAAGCATACTTATCGTACATTTCTCTTCTTGGAGCTTTGTATAAGGGGCATTGAGTGTTGTGAAGGACAAGGTCATTTACTCCCTATTTATACAAATTCAGAAGCAGATGGAGTCAGATTTGACTCATCAGAGACTCTGAGAAAGCAAAGGATACGGTATTAAAGTGCCACTCAGTGAGGTGAGTGCTGTCTGGTAAAGGTTTCTGATCATTGGCCTTGACCCCAGTGTTCAAGAAGTTGCTGGTTTCATTTGTACCACGTCTCTTTCAAACTTGAAGATACATGTAATCTTCCGCGGATCTTGTTGAAATGCACTTCTGATTCAGGACATCTGGGGCGGGCCTGAGACTCTGCGATTCTAAACCCCCACCCCTACCCCACCCCCAGGCCATCACAGGCACCGCGTGTGGAACAAGGGACTAAACTAAAACCCATGGGGCGCCTGAGTGGCTCATCGGTTAAGTGTCCAACTTAGGCTCAGGTCATGATCTCACTGCTCCTGGGTTCGAGCCCCGCATCGGGCTCTGTGCTGACAGCTCAGAGCCTGGAGCCTGTTTCAGATTCTGTGTCTCCCTCTCTGACCCTCCCCTTCTCACGCTGTTTTTCTCTCAGAAATAAATAAAAAACGTTAAATTTTTTTTAAAAAAATAAAAAATAAATAAACTAAAACCCAGACTTCTCCAGTTATGTGCCTTTGCAAACTCCAACTGAAAGGCAGTGATAATGCTACCATAGATGGATTCTTCTGGGCTCATTGGATGCTCCCTGGAGGTACTGGCCCAGCTTCCTACTTCTCAGTGGTCAGTCTAGTCACAAGCCAAGACACTTGATCTTACACAAAGAGTTAAGTACCTACTAAGTGCTAGTGAGCTCCCTTAGAGGAATGGTTGCTCCTGTCCACCCCTCCACACTCCCCTTCTAGTACTTGCCTTTAGAACCTTCTCCACACTCTTGTGCTGGCCACAGTTAAATCTCCTGTGGATATACAGCTCATTCCACTGAGCTCAGAGAGCTTTTTCCTCTTGGGAGGGCCTATGTTTCAACAGAGGACTGGAAGAAGGGCAGTCTCACAGTGCCTGGGTGGCTCAGTCAGCTAAGTGTCCAACTCTTGATTTCAGCTCAAGTCACGGTCTCATGGTTCGTGAGATCAAGCCCTGAAAAGGCTTTGTGCTGACAACGTGGAGCCTGCTTGGGGCTCTCCCTCTCGCTCTCCCTGCCCCTCCCCCCTCTTTCTCTCTCTCAAAATAAACAAATAAACTTAAAAAAGAAGGGTAGCCTTACACCAGAGTATCAAGTTCTGAGGTGCAGGGGTGGGGGTCCCAGTGCCGTGTAAGCCACATCTTATAATGTCATCCAATATTGGTTCAAAATAAGGTGCGAAGTGGAAACAGTCTATAAGTTTAAATCCCAGGCCCCAGGCATACTTTTGCCAGCTTGCCTCCCCCTTCCGGGCCTCTTCCTCACAGACTGTTCCTATCACCTGCCGCTGCTTCTGCTCTGGGTGGTTCTGATGTGATCCATTCATGACCCACTGAGTCATCACAGTGGCAGAGAAATCCCCCCATTTGCCCAAATCACCCTTGGGATCCCCCACCCCGAATTGCAGCCCCGTTCCCTCCATCACATGGGGGAGTGGCTCCCTGTGCCCAGAGGCTTGGAGGACAGCCCTGGTGAGGATCTCAACAGGACTAGATCCAGGTGGCCTGGCTCCCAGGTGTCAGAGTACATTGGGCACACGGCTTCTCGTGGCCAGCTCCCCATAGTCAATTAGGATGTTTGTCTTGTGAAATGGATGGGCTCCATCCCAGCCTACAGATGCTGGATCGATCCAAGAAGCTGAAAGTGCACAACGTTCTTCTCTCTGGCCCAAGAAGGCGATGAACCTAGATTCTCTTCCTGGATACTCTCGTCTTCTTAGCCAAAGGGCTGGCCTTGTCTTCAGAGAAAAGGGCTATCTCAGAAGGCTGACCCCTGGGGCTCTGTGAAGAGAATATTCAGCAACTCTAGGCCGAGACTTCCAACCGTGCGTATTCTGAGCACTTCCTGTGTCCCAGCACCGTGCTAGTTCTGGGGACAGGCAAAGGAGGGTAGCAGAGGAGGTCGGAGCCACTGGGGAAGCTTCCCAGAGATGCCGGAGGAGGTAAAGAAGGGTGAGAATTCGTGCACTCAACAACCATGTGCCAGGCACTGTTCTAGACACTGGGGATGTAGAAGGGAACGAGGCAGACAGAACTCCCTGCCCAGGGTGGAGGGGGGGCTCGCATTTCTGTGGGAGGGCACAGTTTTAATAAACATCAAACAGGAAGAGTGTGTTTTAGAGCATGTTAGGGAGGAAACCCTTTTGCATCTGAACCTCGGATCAGGTCGTGATCTCACAGTTCGTGAGTTCAGGCCCTCCTTCATGCTTTCCGCTGTCAGCACAGAGCTGCCTTCAGATCCTCTGTATGCCTCTCTCTCCGCCCCTTCCCTGCTCTTTCTCAAAAATGAACATTTTTTTAAAAAAAGAAAAGAAATACGGCACGGTACATGGATGGGGGCTGGGAGGGGGGGTGATGGGGTAGGTCTTACAGAGATGATATTTCAGCTAGGACCTGAAAAAGGAAGGGAGCACCATAGGGACGTCCAGGGTCCAGTCAGAGGAAATGACAAGTGCTGTGGCCTGCCTGAGGACCCTGTCTGACCTATCCATTGGCCTGAGGACCCTGCCTGATCTATCTGGGGAAAAGGAAGGAGGCCACTGTGGCAGGATGGGGGTGGGGAGGGTGGAGTGGAGAAGTAACAGGATCTGTTGAACATGTAGAAAGGATGGCTCTGTTCTCGGCCTGACCAGACATGAGGCTGACACAGAGGAGGTGCTCAGCCAATGTTAACATACTGTCCTCTCCCCTAGATCAGGACAGAGCTCATCTGCTTCCGAAAGTTTGCCCCCCACCCAAATAGTCAGGAAACATTTCTTGAGCCCTCATCCACACCAGATCCCGTGCCAGATAAGCTTCCACTCAATATGCTCCCAATCCAGGGGGAGACAGACAAGCAAAGCGCCAAAGGCCAACAGCGTGGGTGGTGTCTGTCTACTTAAGCACTTGAGCCTCAGCAGGGCATTCACCTACCTACCTCCTGTCCCTTTCAGGTCCCTGGATGTTCTCCTGCGGAAGTTCATGCTCCCCTTAGGACATCCCCCACCTCTGTAGCCCTCTGCCAGGCCAGCCTTCATCTCTCTCCAACTCCTGGGGAGCCCCACAAACAGGCCCACCGGGTGTCTTTGGAAGGATGCTGGGCACACCCAAGGGTCCCTCCAAGGACGCTGGGGGACCTCTGAGAGCCTCCATTTCTCAAGCACAGTCTCCTCGTGGCATCCACGGGTATTGTGGGAAGGATGCTCAGAGATGGCCAGCACCCAGTGCGTGGGGGCCACCAAAGGGGGCTAGGGATGGGCTCCTACCTTCCCGAAGTTTATAAGGCACTGTGGCAGCAGCCCACCATCCAAGGGCAGGGACCAGGCATGGGGCACCTGGGTCCCTGGCACTTGGAACCCTGTGTGGTCTGCCAGGACTCCTTGAGTGTTGAATGGAAAAGGGACCTGGAGAACTGCCACAGGAGCTCAGAGGGGGTGTTGTGTTGGGGTGGGGGGTGGGGCAGAAAGAGGCAGGAGAGGATCTGGGCTCCGGAGAGCTGGGGGTAGAGGGTATTCTAGGCAGGAGGAAACCTATGGAGGGGAGAGCAGGCTCTGGCTCTCAGGGGTGGATCTCGGGCTGGGGATGGGGAGTGGGGAGAAGAGGCCTCTCAGAGCAACCCCCTCCCCACCCCCATTGTGCTCTTTGGGGTTGATTTGCAGGGCTCAGATAACTCTTCCCCAGGGTTTATCGCTCTGGCCCAGCTTAGCTCCCTGGAGTAATCTGAAGGCCTTTATCAAGGGCTGATGGAATACATGCCCCCCTTCCTCCAGGCATATTCTAGACAGAGTCCCAGGGGCCTGGAACCCCCACCCCCCAATCAGCCTCCCAGAAGATGAGGGGCCTTA